AACATTAAGGACGCTGCAGAAATCCTCGACTCTTGAAACAGCTCATAAACCTTCATCATGCCTCATTCGTCTTTATGACGTTTTCTGAGTTTATGACTGCAGCTTATGAACGCTTTAGTCGGTTAGTGATGTTTTTCTTGGATTGGTATCATCCCTGTATAGGGTGCATCTCTCACGCATATATATCATATTCATATCATATTTCCCTTTTTTAGTTCTAGCCTGCTGCCCAGCATTGCTGATAAAGAAATACATGAATTGAAGTTGGATATTTGGGTCATTTTAGAGTTGTATTGTAGGGTTTAGAGGTCTCTCAGTCTCCGAAGCAATGCAGAAATGAAAGAAACATCAACAAAACATAGGTGTATGTTAGCTGGTCTAATAAATAAAGTACAAGAAAATAACAATAATTAAGTAATATGCATCCCGGTGTCCGCACACAGCAGGTCCAAGGCCCCACCGTCTCCGGTTGGGCAGTCTACATACTGGCTGAATGTGGGGAGAGTGGTAGAGAGCGATGTATGACGAAGTCTCCTGAGATGACGATCAGAGACAGAGGGTGTGATGTTTGCAGCTGGGACACTGAACTATGGATGAGTTCACAGGCTGCAGAGCATCAGCTGGGGGGGGGATGTAAACTGCAATCGCCAGGACATGTGAAATCTCCCTCGGCAGGTAAAATGGCCGCAAACCAATCGCCAGCAGTTCAACATCCTTTGTGCAGTGCTGCTCTTTAACGCTAACGTGCCCAGCATTATACCATCTCTCATTCACATACATGGTGAGTCCCCAGCCTTTCTTCTTACCAACTCTCCCTCAAGCTCTGGTCCGTCCAAAGTTACAAGCAAGTCCGGAGTTTGTTTGTTCGTTCATGTTGTAATTTGAAATAGTCTTCCATTGCTTTGTTGCAAGAAATTAAGCCTGTATAAAAATGTTTTCAAAACTGCTAGTTTTTCGAAGGCATAAAACATAATGATGCACGCCCCCCTTGAGCAAAATAGCAATTTAGAAACAATGGGCTCAATAGCTTTTGACTAACTGTTTAATTCTTTTTTTCTTTTTCTGTCTCGAGCCACAGAGTGACTTTGTGTCTTCATAAGGATATAATTAGGCAACAGCAGCTGGTCACACACATGCAGTTTTCCAACTGACTCTAGATAAGACAATCTACTGATAGTGGAGCAAGTAAACAATATTCTCAGTCCCGCTCTTTCGTGCACTCTTGTATGTCTATTTTTCACGACTTTCTCTCAGGCCTTATCCAGCGATGAATGTTTTTTACTTAAACTCACACTCTGCTAACATGCCCGTCACCCATCGCCAAATAGGCCGGCTGTTACAAAACACACTCTATTTCATGCCAGGGTGCCGGCTCTGGCAACACTCAGCCACTTCTCCGTGTCAAAGCGTGTGTGTGTGTGTG